GCCGGGGATGCGCCGAGCCTGAAGCAGTAAAGCTCTCGCTCCATCACCTACATGTAGAAGTCCTATCAGAGCGGTTAGAGTGGTGATGAAGGGGTTAAATTTCAGTTTTTTCCATCTTGCTTCATCTCACGTTTTAACGGTTAACATGTTCAGTGAGTTCTCTGTGTAGAAGCGAAAAGAGGAGCGTAACTGTTACTGTGATTGTTTTTTTTGTTTTGTTTAGGTGTTAAATGGTGAGTTTTGATTTGTGTTTATCGCATCGGCAAAGATTCGAAAAGGTAAAAAATGTTTCCGCGGACACGGCAAAAAAGAAAAGAGATTGTGCCTTAGGAAATAATACGGTCACGTGTCCGTCTGATATGTTTGAAGGTGAAAGCGTGTAGGAGAAATCAGATTAATCTGTTTTGGGGTTTTTTTTTTTTTGTTTTTGTTTTAAATGCATGAGACATTTGATTCATACGTTGCTCAACGGGACCAATCGGAGGCAGCTGCCCGGCTCGCTGACTCGCAGACGTGGCGGTCTCCCCGGGCGTTCGTCACTTCTGCTTTCTGAGCTTTTAAACGCAGCTCATCAGCAGCTGCTGCATATTCTCGTTGGTTTGTGGATGTTTCCATAGTAAGACGGATGTGTTTTAGACAGAAAACGCGTGAACATTTTTCCGGCGCCGTCATATCTGTTTAGATAAGAGGCCATGTTTGTCTAGATTTTTAATTAAAATAAAATCAGTAGTGTTACATGACATAATCCATGTATAGAATTAGATCTGAAGCTTTGTAATCCTGCAGTTTTACTTGTGTAAAAAAAAAAAAAAAACTAACTGAAGAGAAATGTGAAGATTTGTGGGAAAAAAACAAACATGATGTGATGATTTTAAATGGAATCGACCTGAACTAGCAGAACTAGTTTGGCCACATCTCGCCGCGCCCTTCTCGTCCACGTTCGACTGTACATACTGCATGAATCAAACAGGACTGATTTTGTTCGGTCTGATGCTGAAATCTTTTTTACTGTTCAAGAGCTTTGAACTACCCGTCTTTTAATTTTCAATAAATTTTTCTTTGATTCGGGGCATTTTTGTGAGTGTTTTTTTTCTTTAGAAAAAGAAATAAATGCAGTTTCAGGGGTATATCTTATTACATGTGGGTTACAGATCACATTGAATATACAAAAACACAAAATCTTCACATAAAGTGTATTATCCTAGAGTTATTTATCGACATCTAAAAACATGTTAAGATTTTTGCATATTTTCATGCCTCTGTGCTAATAAATTCTTGTAATTGCTGTGAATTTAATTAAAAACTATAAATATTATTCACACGCAGCTAACTCTAAAAGCAGTACAGTAATCAATCTAAAAGAGACATCAATTAAAAACTGCAAAAAGTCTCAAATGACATTATAAAGCTTCTCATTTTTCATGAACACTTTTAACCCGTCCCACCCCCGTTGTTATCGATGGTAACTAACAGCGCTTAAGACTTTAAATCTCATCTGATATATATATTTTTTGCGTAAATATGTTTATTATAATTTTAAAATTAGGATGCAAGATTCCTGAGCTCATTGAGTGCTGTTTATTTTTGCCTGGAAATTAGCACCACAGTATAATTTGCAGAGTAAATTGTTTTCAGCAACTAAACGAGAAGAATGAGGAGATGGCGCCATCTAGTGGTGACAGTGGGTTAGCTCCTGAAGAGTGAGGGTGAAAATATGGAATGCACCAAAGAGCAAATGTATTTTTTTGTGGTGACCCTTGTGACAAGGGAGCTCTCAGTGACAGATCTAGGACAGGACCAGAAGGAAAAGACCTGACAGTAGAAATCTTGTCTTAAAAATGTTTTTCAGTAAATGGAGACGAGGGCACAAAATACATCGATTTATAAGAGAGTTATCTGTACTAAAAAGAAAGTGACGTTTGTGGCTATGATTTGATACAAGTTTTGACAAAAAACAATAGTGTTGTGTTGCAGCTTTAACAGGTACTTTAGTAGGCTGTTTTTATAATATCTAATTAAACGGTTCCACCTTCTCTCTGCGCATCAGCCTCAGAGCAAGAAAATGTCTTTAAACTGCCATTAACACAAACATCCACAAAATATTGCTTACTGAGTATTAGGATAAAAACCTGAAATGGATGGGAAATGCTCATAAAATCAGTAAAATACAATACAATTACAATACAATACAATTTTATTTATATAGCACATTTAAAAACCCGAAGGCACACCAAAGTGCTTCACAGTAATATGGAGAGTCAACATAAGTCAATAACAGGGTACAAATCGGGCACAAGCACAGACAGGATAGAGGCACTAAC